GTTGAGACAGTGGTGGATTAAGATCTTAATTTTTATATTCTGTGTGGAGCGAGGAACGTCAGTGGTTTTACAATGATAAAAGCGTAAAAAAACTTGTATTTATTGACTGACGGTATTTTCGGTGTATCGAAAAACCCGTAGGATTTTTTACTTACTCGTTTTTGGAGAAAATTTTTAAATTTTGATAAGCAAAACATGTGATTAATTTGAATAACTCTCAAATCATAGGATATGGGATAGGAAATCTTTAAACTGTACATAACTATTCATAATGTTATACAAAGTAACTATAAAAAATAAAATAAAGCTTTTATGTTTATTAATTCTATACTTTAATTATTTGTTTTCAACATTCCAAATCCATCAACTTATCTCATACAGAGATGATATAAGTGGACTTGAACATAAATTATATGCATTTAAATTACAAAAATAAAAAAAATAAAACATTAAAATATTACAAATAAAAAAATGCAATTCTTTACTTTCGTTCTAAGAACACACTGTCATTCAATTTATTTTGTCAGCTTATTCTAATCATTAGTAAATTTGTATTCAGTTGCCATGCGTCAATTTTTTCAAGTTTGATTTGTTTTTGAATTCATAAATCTTAGGATATGTCATATAAATCTATCTATAATATAATGTTTAAAACGTCCGCTTTCTAAAAAAACGGAATCAAATTAAAAATTAAACGTACTATTCGGTTAAAATTCCCACGGTATAGCTGGACGTTTACCGAAAACAAAACGCGCGTTTTCGAAAAACGATTAAAAAACTAAAAAAATAAACAATTGTACTCTTATCAGACTGTCCTAAAATTTAAAATATTAATTGTTCCTATCATCATACACGTAATTCATCGTTAATATCGGTGTCAATTATATCTTAATTCGCTATCACACGAAACATTGATTCGTCATATTTTCAGAGTCCTCGACATATACCTGCCACAGTATCACCTAAATAGATACACACCCGTAAGCATTTCTCGATAATGAAAATCAATCAAGCATCTAAGAAATACGAAGTTTGAAACACTGATTATGTGCATATACAATTATTGGAAAATACATGTTATTCGCTTTATTGTCTGCGGTAAATACCTATCTATATTATTTGCCAACAAAAGTTTTATGCGGGTAATTATACCGCATAAGGAGATTAATATTATATTATAATATTTTATACGAGATAAAAACGTATTTGCATAATAAAAAATAAACAATACATGTTTAGGTATTCATATATTATATTATATTACGTCCCAAACGCAAAAGTAAAATCGCTTATTTGTTTGTTTTTTTTTCTTTTTTTTTTTCATCGAAACGTATAAAATTGGATTTTAAGATCGTAAAAAAGACCGAAAATATAAGACAAATATAATAATATACCAGATTGTTGCACTACACTTTTTTGTTCACATAATTTTCGTTATATTAAATTTTCGTTTCGGTCAAAGAAAATCATTATATCTACATTATAAAATAGTTCTTGACAATACTTTTTAGACGTTTGCAATAATACTCTGCGTTTATGTTTCTAAAATATATTTTTTTGGTCCCAGAGAAATAGTGCTTAAGTAAATTTCGTGTTGTTTTGATTACAAGTAAATTAAATATTAAAAATCCTTACATTGATACACTAGTGCCGGGTTGTATAAAAACAGTTTTGTAAAATGCTGGTTTCATAATCTATCTGTTCTGTAAAATTACAGTTATTGAACAGATTGCGTTGCATAAAAGTGTTTCATTATTTTTATCTGTTATCTATCATTGTAAACACTTGCTCAGTTATCAGTATACATAATTTAATATTTTATCAATATTAAATTATAACGGGATAAATCAATATCAACAAGAAGGTTCCCCGTGATAACAAAATTATAATTTTCCCATATGATAAGTTTGAATAGCTCTGAAAATTTTACTGAACTGAAATTAGCTCGACAACTCATCGATTCAAAAAACCATGTTTTTGCTAACAGTTTTCGAATTTACGGAACTGTTTTCAATTTTATGTATAGTTTTATGCGACCTAGCTTAAATACACTAATTTTACCGATAATATGTTTCAGTCCGTATTGCATATCACAGAGAGCCTCAATAATATATATATTTTTTTGTAATTATTAAGTAAAACAAAAACGTTTGCAGTATTGTAAAAGTGATTATATGTTTTCATTTTTTTATTTTTTTAACGTGCATATTATATTTTAGATTCTAAACGAAATTGTTTGTACTTTTCTTGTTCTGCACAGTATGGTTTCCGATTTTAACGAAGTTACTTTTTGTTTCTGACAGTTATATATTTAAACTATAACACGATATATTTTATCCCATCATCTTACCCTGCGATTGACTAACAAAATTCATATTTTACAACAAATTGCGCAAAACAGTTTATTTTTTTTCAAATTCGTACCTCCCTCGGTTCTCTAATATAATACGATAGCTTAAAAATTACAAATAAATCGTCCTAAAAATTACCAGTGAAACGGAAACCCAAATATTACACACTTGAATATAGGAACATCAAAACATAAAACATTAATTGCAATATAAATATTTATAGCCCCTTTTCCTGTGAGCAATATAAAAAAAAAAACATAATTTGATTATCTTTGTTATCTCCGGAGTTATTACAATAGGTATATCTTCGTGGGATACCCTGTATATATATATAATTTAATATTCAATTTCTATAAAAAATATTAACCCATAGTGCACTAAATGGTTGTGTATTGTATTTCTTGAATTAGAATAAACTTTTTAAAATACATTAATATAATGCGTATTAAATAACCGTTTATATGCGAGTTAAATATGAATTAGGTTAATGCGCACTAATTACTCCACGTAAACATGATATTTAACGATTTTAATGATATTTCTCATCTAAAATGCAATATAAGAATACTATAATATAATACAATATAAATCAGGATTAAAATACAACAGGTTATTGCATATTGTTCCTTCCCGTCTATTCATATCAGAGGATAAAAAAAACCATTGAGATATCACAAATTCATAATAATTTGTGTTGTAATAATGTTTTACAATAGTGATATCTCCTTAGGCTGCCATTTTTATTATTACATCATAATATGAAATACCCTGTAGTATTTTAGTCATGATAAAAACGAGCAAAACACACAAAGATGTACCGATATAAGTGATATAAGGGAACAAGTACAAGCGTACATAAAACTTAAAATATGTATGTGGACGACTGGAGAAAGTAGGTACATCTCAAGTGCACGATGTAAACTTTCGTTGTAAGTTAGGTATTTAATATAATAAGGAGCGAATATTATTATAATATTATATAAAATACTTTGTGATGCTTTTAAAAGGAGACGTATACACTCGTATAAATTATTATAATATAATAATATTTTGAAGCGTTCAAATATACGAGTACATTGTGTTGTGCAAAATTTAACATCGCGCCAGAGTATGAGTTAATGTTTTATTACAATAGTCAATATAATTAAATGAGTTATTGCTGTTAAATAAAATAAATGTTATGCGTGACGAGCGTTTTATATTAATTTCTTATAGGTATCGAGAATGCGAAAAGCACACGCAGAATTAATATTTAAACATTTTAGTCAGGTGACTAAGTATACACAGTTCAGTAGAATTTTCACCTACATTATTCAGTTAGTATAAATAATTCGTTAAATGCATTTTTGAATTTGTTTTAGCAAAAGACAATAAATTCTTATACCAGAACAAAAAACTTATATAATCATACGAATTATCGTTATAGGACGCCATGATCGCATCTATTGCAGGATCAGTTGTATACACTCTGAATCTAAAATGTTTACACGCAGAGCGTATTAAACTCGCTTGATTAAAGTAATAACTATGGCTTTATAGAATTGAAACAATACAATGTTCCATAGGATAAGAAGATGTCATTTTTTTTTTTTTTCATTTTTTGAAAAGTTTCAGTAATTATTTACGTATATTGAAAAAGGTCGTTATTTCTAAACGACGCATTGAACGTTATATTTGGAACAATGGAAAAACTTATCGCGGACCCTCCGGAATGTTGTCCACTTTTAATTTTATAATAAGTGCTTTTACTCTGAATCTTAAACCAAGCGAGTTATACCCAGCCTGCGTAATCGTGGTTTCGCTATGTTTCCTGCTAGTTGGACTGAAACAGTTATATTAGATGCGGGTGTTACTTCTATTTAGGAGTAAACCGAACGTGAATTGTCGATAACGTAATCTTACATATAACTTGTGACGTACCACGAATGCGTTTCCCATACTCAGATCGAAATAAACATGAGCAATTTTACTAATAGTCCACAGTTTTCTTAAAATCGGCCGAACCTCAAGCCGATATTTTTTTAAAAAAGTTAACGATAAAATACTAGTAAAATCGGTTTGAAAATAAAAAATATCCTACAAATTGTTCTACAGACATTTAGAGTACAGCTTCTAATGCCAAAGTCAACTTTATATTATAACCTATACTATTAATTGGAATACAAAGTCACTAAGCATTATTTTGGCCATATTGTCCGATAAATTGACAGAGACGATAAATCCACGGGCCACGGCCCTCTTAACGGTCAAACTCATCAGAAGGTTTGAATTTGGTTTCCAAATCCTTACCAAATCTGTGTAATATTATTTTTAAAGAATCGATCGTGTATTTTTAAATTAAAAAAAACAATAATAAAATAAAAATCGTTTGCGAAGAAACGCGTCCTTAACATTGGCCTACAAAATAATACGAGTACCGAAATCTAATAACCGCGCGAAGCGGTCCTTAAAAAATAAAAAAAAAAACGATACCGATCTAACGACTCCGTATACCGAAAGTGGTGCGCGTTAGCTGTTAGGTACCTCACTGAGACTACAGAAAAAAAAAAATCGTGTTCATTATTTATTTATTCTTTTCCATTTTTTTTTTCTGCCATATTATAAAGTAAACTATTTTTTCCCTTCTCTTGTATGTTAGTTAGTAGCTTTATCGTTAAACACTGTACACCCCGAGTTAATCTAAACGTCAATTAAAAACGGAATATTTTATCATAAAACCCATCAGAACAGCACACGCACGTATACAAACGCACCCTAGGTGTATAATGTTTGTTTTAACACTTTCTTCCGCTGACTACGGACGCCGTATACATTGTGTGAATGGCAACGCAAACGCTCTCGTACACTGAACCGGATTACGGTTATAAGGTCTGACCCTTGGTGAACAATATTTTATTAAGATGAAGATAAGAGAAAACCGTTAGAATAATTATTATCTATATGAACATATAATCTGTCTGCCAATTTAACTATCGAGATAAGGATAAATAATCAGAGTAGTAGTACACAATATATCAAAAGAGGTAGGCGAAATCGTTTTACCCATCTGCCCTTCCCCCAATTTCTTTTTTTAAATTGAGATGATAATCCATTAATACACGAACAAGTAATTTCTAATGTAAATGACCCATTGAATATGATAGGACAGAAATATCCGTATACTAAAAATAAAAAAAATAATAATAATAATTATGAAGGAGGAAAAAAACCGAGACAAAAGTTGTGGTCTCTTTCGACTTTCAGCCCGAGGTTACAGCGTCCCTGTCTCCCTGTTTTCCCCTAGATACAGATTTGCTCGTAAATACATCACACGCATATATTGCTCACGCATCAATCCGTGTGAATAAAAATATAATAGAGGGTAAAGGATAGCTAGCAGCTAGGCTTCTCCTATCTATGTTGAACAGAAAAAAAGGTCTCGGCGTATTATGATAAATGCGTCATTGTTGACAAAAATGACGTTGCAATTATTATTATTATTTTTTTTTTACAATCTAACTATGGCATGCAGGCCGTGACGTGATCATCGTTAGCTACCTACCTGCCTGCTTTTTTTGCACCTCTTGTTTTTCATCCTTTTTTACTATTTTTTTTTTTTTTTTTTTTGGTTGCTCTCCTCCCTTTCCCAACCGCATTAAATAATAATAATAATGTAATAAAAGCTCGCCGCCGTGAACACGGCGGTAAAATGTTGGCGACATGTCACTTTTTTATTCGCAGTAACAATGTCCCCCGTATAAAGGTTTAAGGACCGCTAGAATAAAATAATATAATAGGCGGGTAAGTACGCGTAGTTTGCGGGTAATTTAATTTGTAAATTTCCAAATGACAATAACAATATTAATCCTTGACGTAGAGTAGCGGGTACTTACCTCTTGTAATATTATTCGCTTCCTGTTTTCTCTTTCAGCCAGTAAAAATCGAACAAATCAACTAAATGCCGGACTGGATATAATATTATGGATATTGAGTTTTCGATGTATATTTCGGGTTCAGATCTGAAACACAAATATTTAATTATAATTAAAACAACACGCTATATACACGAAACTTTTTTTTTAAGAAATGAAATTAACTAAACCAAACAAAACTCGGACACAAACAATTAATTTCGTCGTATAATTCGCAACATTATTATAACTGGCCCAATATAATATACTAATGAGTCCTAATAATATTATATAGTAAGTGTTTTAATCGAACGATTTGTAATAATACTATGCTACTCAATTATTATAATGGACAAGGGTTGAGATTAAATTTCGAACAGTTATTATATTATTATTGTTATTATTATTACTATTATTATTATAGATACCCATTATTATTTATAGAGACGATAGGATGTGGGTACATAACCTCTAATAGTTATTATTTTGCATACCAGACTTGAATTTTGCAATGTTCGAACTCGTGATTCGTGAAACACATTTTATAAAATAGTTACGTCCTACATAAATAATGTGCGACATTTTCACGAAATTTCGATTAAATGAAACTCGTAAAATTATGTGTTTCGAAGTACAACTACCCATCGTTCTCTCGATTAATATCTAACCAGTATTTAAGTATATAAGTAGGTGTGTTATCGTTTATAACATTGGAAATTAAAATCTAAATAATTCTAATCCCGCGCGCACCCGACGTAATTTCAGATACATATATCATAATAATAATCATAATGGCTATGTATAATTAGTATTAATTACGAAATCGGATGGCGCCTATGCAGCGTGGTGGTGATAAATTCAGATTAACTATATTTAGCATTTAAGTGCGACAAAAGACGCGCAGTGTAGACACTGAACATGGAATATCCACCGAACGGAATAGAAATACGTGTTTTCATTGATTATAGTATGTTAAATAATAGGTATACATGGATACAGCATGGTAACGTTTTTGTAGCATTTTCATACTAGTTCCGTGAATCGAAGAGGTGATTTAATTGTTTGATTTTTCTTATAATTTTCTTCTAAATAAAACGGGGAAAAACTTTTTTAAATTTTGTTTTTTTTTTTATTTCCGGGTTACCGAACGGCAACAAGACAACAAATAAAAAGAATAATACTTTGTTCAAAATCGTTTTTCGTTATCGACTGTTTGTCTTTGCGTACAGATATCAGTTAAACTGCTCTATACAATTTATCCTCCTTTCGAATTTCTCTCCTGAAACAGCGTCACATCCATCGGCCTGCAGTATCGGTCATTTTAGTTTTATTTTTGAAATACTGTTACAAGTCTACCGTTTTGCATTTCTGTTTACATTCAATGCAATATTGGCTACGATTCAAGTACTATTTTCGTTGATACTGTTAAGCTCGTATAGAGTATTTGAGTTTGTGATAACGTCCATAAAAATATAAACCGTAATATTATATACAAATATAATTAGTTAATATTTCTGAAATCCGATATGCACAAACGAACAACGGTTATTTGTGCTGTTCGTATAATATTATGCGATGATATTTGCGTCTCTGTGTAACTAATTTTTAATTGGTCCGTTCCCTTCCCCTTCGGTTAAGCGTTTTAAACGTTTAATATACCCCGGAGAGTCACTTATATCCGGCTAAATATAACTAAAGCCGTTCAATAAATACTGTATTAACATAATCGATTTCTTCGTATCTAATTGATTTCCGGACGAAATTGTGTGATTAATTGTTATCATAATATACTGCAGTATGACACTTACTCAGGGGAGGGGAAGTTGGGATTCGCCTACCTAGAAATTTTAAAAAATACTACTTCATACGCATAATATCATATAAATTGTACAATACTGTAGTTCAAAATGTATAATTTTCGTCACTGATATGTACCCTCCCCGAAATTTGTTTCTGTATACGTTCCCTAATGGCAGTGACGGTCATGTATTATTTGGAAATAAAATATTCGACTCCGTTTTTCAATTATAGTCGTTAGCTTTTGCTGAAACGGAAATACGTTTTCATGTCAGACTTTCGCACGGCTTACACAGTAAGTTCACAAAAAAGTTAAGTGAATTTGATAGATCGGCGTCGCACGGTGGACTTTGGAATCTCAATCTCCAGAGGACCACTACGACATTATTACATTACGTTTAGTACCTAAATCATAATTTATGATGGCGTTTTACCTTAACGAGCTGCATACGAATTGCGTCTCACGGCAAAAATCCTTCCTAATTGCGGCTCAGTTATTTTCTTGGGCGATACTAGCTGTGTCCCACAAATTATAAAAAAATTAACAATATTTCCCTTCCCTTGTTTACACCGACTCAGAGCCTATACTTTGGTATGTTAAAAATATTGTTTTACTTGTTATATTATTAATTTGTCTAAATTTAGTAATTGTGTTATAATTGTTATAGATGTGACAAAACAATAAAAAAATATTATAGTTTTGATAAACCGATTATAAGTCAAACACTGCAACGTGGCACAAATATTTTGTTTCTATACATAATGTAACGCACAAGAAAATGATCAAAGTGAAATCGTAATCGTTGTATTAAACCGTTAACGCCTACTCGATAAGCTCGCCTATAATATTCTTATAGACATTTTAGATATCGCGGGTGGTCGAGACGCGATACGGACGAGTTCAAGAAAAAAATCCGGAACGCAATTAAAATATTATATCTTATTGTGCACCTTTTTATTCAGGACGCAACTAGTACGAAGCGAAGGATAAAGTGGCCGAAACCATTTCAATGACGATTCAATACATTTATTTTGAAAATCTTAAGTCGAGTTAAAAAAACTCACCATCCTTCTTTGTATTCGTTCTGGTTCGTTTATAATACCTACGTAATTATTGTGTAGATTTTCTGATATTAACCATTGCAGCTGAGAGTACTACAGTTTTATAATGAGTGTCGCCGAATCATTTCCTAAACTCATTAAAGCTATACTCTATATTAAGACCACGATGTACATTTAAAAGTTTTATGCGGCAAATTATGAATAATTATTGTTCGGGAAATCGTCCGAAACTTGGACAGATATATGAGCACATTTTAGTTGCATTTAACTTTTTCGATTTTTCATATTTCGCCGATTATTGGTACTAAAACTAAGGTCGTTAACTTTAGAGATGTCACGTTCAAATCATACACAATTTATAAATAATACAATAACGGATTTTGAAAAAAAAAAAAAAAAAAAACATTCAATGAACTTTTGCGTCTTTAGATTGCAATGGTTCAATGATATTCACCATATCACATTCGTCAAAATAGTTAGTTTTAATAATGCCGTGAACCTACAAAAATAATATATCACTTAAATTGTAAAATAAAACATTTAATAAGACGGACGAATTGTATAAATCTAAAATTTACATTTCAGTCTTAATCGCAATTTACTTCTCGGATACAATTTAGCGTGTCGGTTTTTGTTCAAAACCGTATTATACGTGCCAATTGTATTTTATTTATCCCCGCACATATACGTAGTAACTTTGTAGTTGGGAGACAGCAGTATTCCTTTAGGGCATTTTCGTGCTTTTGCAGACGTCCTTTTAATACAACGTTTAACGGCGAGCCGGAATACCTATACACACATTTCGCCCCGTATACAAGTTCTTCTATATTGCTCTTATAGTAATAATCGTGTTCCGCCGGAGCACGGCCGATACTTAAATGATTTTACTGTAGTTTGTTCTTTTCTTGTTTTCTTTAATTTAGGATTGTACCGTTCATCAATTGTATTCTTGCATATTTCTTCGAGTTTATTAAGTTTTTATCATTTGTTTGGTTTCCGGCTTCGCCAATATAAATGACATGGATTTAATCCGGTTATTGAATTCATAGGTTTTCAATAATTATAAATTGTACCTAAATAATAACAATAACTGAAAATGAGTTGGAAT